TAGGGCGCTCGACTCGCAATCAGAGGGTCGCGGGTTGGAATCCCCATGCTACCAAACATGCTCGCCCTTTCAGCCGTGGGGGCGTTATAATGTGACGGTCAATCCCACTATTCGTTGGTAAAAAGAGTAGCCCAAGAGTTGGCGGTGGGTGGTGCTGACTAGCTTCATTCCCTCTAGTGTTACACTGCTAAATTAGGGACGGCTAGCGCATATAGCCCTCGTGTAGCTTTATATTTTATACAATAAGTTTATACAATCTTTATATTTGGTATACTATGAATAATAATTATTCTGATTATGTTTTTTGTGTTTTATGTTCCTCTTACTTCTGCTTTTAAGGAAAATGTGTTGTCATGGTTACACGTAAGTACTTATTAGAATATACAGTTGGCGGTGTGTTCCTTCTACTGGTACTTCTAAATAAACAGTTTGCGACATATGGTAACGTTGTATCGATCGCTTTTGTGGTTACGATAACTTATATAATAGCCTAAGTTTATTATGTTGTTGTTACTGGATTCTAATTACTCATTTGTTTTATCTTACGTTTAATAATTAAAGAGTTTACAGTATGTTGCCTCCACTTGTACTTTTAAGTTAACAGTTTAGGTTTTGATCATATTTTTTTTATTCATTGCATTGGGTCGTTTTCTTTAAATAAAAAGCTTCGTGGAACATTTTTTACTTGAAAAATATTTAAATTTAGTACGTTACCTTATGATTCTCTAACTTTTACTTCGTTAAAAAAACTCATCTTTGATCTAGTGAAGATGAGTTAAATATATGTATAAGAATAGTTCTGTTGTATTTGCTTGCTGGCTAAGAAATGTGAATTCTGCCAGGAGTGTTAAAGAAGGCCCCCCGTAGGTTAGCGGTAAACTTGCTAACTTATAAAGTTAGAAAGTGGAGTTCGATACTCAATGTGAGAACAGAATAAACGGTTCATTGTAGGTAGTTTTATATATATATAAAAAAAAAACAAGCGTGTAGGAACGGCCTGCTAAAAAGGTAAGAAACTTTATTCAACATGCAAGGGTTTATATGTTCTGTTCAGTTGTTTATATTTGTCATTTTGAGATGCTCTTTTTAATCAATATTGTTTGAAAAATGTATACATCTACAACAACGTTTTTATTTACACAAGTTACTGGAAGGTTCTGATGCCACAAGATCCAACGACTTTCCACGCAGCTCAAGGTTAGTTACAGCTAGTTCCTTGTACGAAAGTTTCATGAAAGTTAGAAAGTGACCACTCGATAAGCAGTGTTTTTATGTAAACCTATAAACATAGTATCTAAAACAACAGTAGTATTAATTTCCAATTAATTCTACCTCTGAATCTTTAATTATTGGGTAATGTTTACGTGTTTTTTTCAAGTTTTTTAAATAAGAAACCCGAGTGCATTCGGAAACTAGACACCCTTCTTCTATGGTGATCCGAACGCGCTCGGGTTATCAGGTTTTTTTATTTTGTAACTCAGTTTTTGATCCTATGTGACTACTTAGTGTCGTTACCAGGGTGATCCGAACTCGCTTGGGCTATCGGGTTTTTTATTTTCTGACTTAATTTTTGATCCTATTTGACTACTTAGTGTCGTGACCAGTGTGATCCGAACGCGTTCGGGCTATCGGGTTTTTTATTTTGTGACTTATTTTTTAATGCTGTTTGACTACTTAGTGGCGTGACCAGAGTGATCCGAACTCGCTCGAGTTATCGGTTTTTTTATTTTGTGACTTAATTTTTGATCCTGTTTGACTACTTGTGTCGTGATCAGGGTTATCCGAACTCGCTCGGGTTATCGGGTTTTTTATTTTGTGACTTAATTTTTGATCTTGTGTGACAACTTAGTGTCGTGACCAGGGTGATCCGAACTCGCTCAAGTTATCGGGTTTTTTATTTTGTGACTTAATTTTTAATCCTGTTTGACTACTTAGTGTCGTGATCAGGGTGATCCGAACTCGCTCAGATTATAGTTTTTTTATTTTGTGACTTAATTTTTGATCCTGCGTGACCACTTAGTGTCATGAGTGTTTTCTCTAGATATTTCTATGATTTATTTTGAATACTCCAGAGCATGTTCTTGAGTAGTATGCAAGAAAATATAGGTTACAAATATTTTCAATGACACCTTCTAGCACATAATACTAAGATCCATCAATACTTAACTTACCGATGATACGTTCAGTGACGTAGGTGATATCCATGATAAACCGAGGCAGCTTTTCTTCGTTCCTACATCAGAGAAAGATCCAAAGTAGGTTTGAACAAATTCTATAAAACTAAACCTCTAAACACCTGCTTTGGTTTTCTTCGAAATTAAACGATACTTTTTATCATAACTAATCTTTTAAAGTTAGAAATTTGTGTAACATGTGTTGCTTTATTTCACAGTTATTAGGCTAGAGATAAAGTGCTGGGGCTTTTCAAAGTGTAATAGAAGTTGAATTTTCCCAGTTCCCACATTATGGGCGCTAAGAATAACTTTACAATTTAAGCTACATTGTATATGCACT